AGTTACTTAGCACCTAATTCAGATAAAGATGACTTACTTTTATGTCAAATGTAGAATTTCAAGTTGACTTAAGAATTAATATCATAAAAGGCATTAAGGGCTTTTATAATGTTAATGAAACTCTTTGATAAAACTCTAATTTGTTAAAAGGTTGCAAGTAACCTGTTAGTCTAACACTAGAACAGACTTAAACTTAATATTGCTGTTTCGATTATCAAACTTTTTGTGATGGATCAGGGTCTACACAAATCAGTTGTTGTGTAGAGACCCTCCTAGATCTGAAAGGTCAAACCCTGAATATCAACACTCAAAACTGTTGTTAATTTTATAATACATGTTTAATTAGAAGGCAAATTCTAAGTTATTTCTCTAATGGATTAGCAAGTAAGGTGTTATCTAAACGGAAGAGCAGAAAGTATTTAAAAAAGTAAAATCAAAAGAGAGAAATTATATATGTACATATGTACAATCATACAAACCTTCAAAGTATTCCTGCTCATGGGTACTAGAATTTTCATTTTTGGTTATTTGTTTTACAGATTGATTTGGAAATTTAAATATATTTTTCTAACAATGTAAGATGTCAAACTTTGAATGAAAAATAATCATTTTTACAATGGTTAATTAGAAAGGCCTATATTCTAAACCTTATTGTGTTCTCTCCAAAAATAAACTGAAGCAGAGCCGAGAACTTTCATTTGTATTCAATATTTATGTCTTTGAAATAGCTATATAATGTGTCCTCAATTATAAGAGCTAATACATTTTAGTGAGGGAGTTGGGGACACAATGAAGGGTTAGCTTTTCAGGGGCATTAGCTTTGTGTTTATATAACAAAGTTAAAGTCCCAATTCTACCATTAAAGCTGTATGGCCTGTAACAAATCATTTCACTTGTATGATCTTCAGTATGGGAGAGAAAGAATGGTTTTATGAGGCCTAAAACAGCACTTTATACTAATAAATATTTATAGAGTGGTTTGAGAAGAGAGAAAACAAAGAATTGAACAAGCAGAGTTGGTTTGTATATGTGGTAGACATATAAGCTCACTGGTGTGCTAGAAAATGTTTAACAATCAGCTCTCAAAAAAACTGGAATATATATATATATATTCACACATTTATTAAATAAAATATCATTATTGGAAATTCCATAGATCTAATTTATTTTTTCCAGAATACTTTCAGTGTTTTTTGTCCAACTTTTATCTGCAACTTATAATTGTAAAAGACGAATGAGTGATTCCTAAATGAACACTGCTTGATTTTTTAATGTTAACAAGATGAAAGTGAAGCATCAAAAATAATATTATATCACAACTTCACTGGTTTATAAATGATATGAGTAACTTTTTTGTTAAGTTGAATAATAGTTTTCAAATACTAGGAAAGATGTTTTCTCAATTTTTAGTGCTATTAACACTATAATGGCTAAAGACACAACCCAATTATACTTAATTATAGATAATGAGCAGCAAAACAATAAATTAAGTCAGGATTTGTGGTGTTTTTCAATTTCTGCAGTGTAAATATTCTTACTATGTCCAATATCAAGCTATCAAGGTAAGACCACTGAATATAGAGTTGGAAAGAGATGTACGCTCTGATATAATATTCCCATGATTGTGATACAATATACATAACTAACCTAAAACGCAAAGATAATAATAAAAGTAGCAAATTAATTAGGAAATGAGAAGTTGTATTTATTTATTATCTTTGTTTTTATATAATTTAAGTTAATATAATTGTAATTTAATTGTAATATAATTTAATTTTTAATAATGACTATGTATAACAACCAGTTCACAAAATTACTTAAAATTTAACAACAGACCCTTAGAAATAGCATTCTCAAAGACATACTTAGGTTAGAAAAAAGCCTGAAAATAATACATCTTAGAAAACAACAATTTCAACACATTATTAACCTTCTTATCATACTTCTAAAAGAATGTTATTAATCAAGTCCTTCAACTATCTAATTTTTAAAAACATGACATTGATTCTCTTAAGCCTTTCTCTTGGATTCTCAAAATCAATTTCGAATTATATTACTGGCTCTTCTCCATAAGCATCCATTTAGTCTACATTTGGAATGAAAAATAAGTCTTTAAACTTCACAATGCTGACTATGATAAAAAGCTTGCCTTGAATTTTATCTCTGCTAAACAACAAAAACAGAAATAGTATTTCTGGGTGGTATTCAGCTTTTGTCCTATCAGGCCAATGGGGACTACTCATTGTTGATCGTTTATAGAGTCTACTTACAATAAATGCCTCTTATAAATGTTAATTGAAATAATTGATTACATTACATATTTTGAGTAAGGGTCTGGAAAGTTCAATATTCCTGCCGACTGAAAAGAAGAGAACCAAAGAAGCATATATTCATAATTCCCAAACCTGCTGATTATCAGATAGTCTGTAGAGCTTTATAACTAGGTACAGATCAACTGGAACAGTTTTCCCCAGTTCTAATGAATCGGAAAATCTGTTAGTAGTGCTAGAAATAAAGTACATAGAAGAGTCAAATGATTGTCTACTCGCAATGAAAACTTTACTAGTATGGTTATATATAACAAAAGTAGTTTATGGAATGAAGGGAAGAGAGAGAAAGTGAGTGAGTGAATGTCAGCCTAGATTGTGAGTAATCAGAGGAAAGGTGTGTGTGTGTTTATTTTTGTTGCTGTTTCTGTTTTTATTAGACACCCATACAATGATGTTATATATAGTAAATGAAATCTGACCAAAAAAAAAAACAAACAAAAAAAATCCCCAAACCTATACTCTACACTCTAAGGATTAGAAGAGTTATGTAGCCAACTCTACAGCATATATAAAAAAAAAAAAATGCATTTAAATTCTCTCAGTCAAGGGGTAGAGGGTCTGATAAGGGGCTATTTGTTTTACTTATTTCTCTTTATTTCTTAGTCTGAATGGAGGAAGAGGACTGATTCGCCTTTGCTTAATATTGGAAAGTGCTGGAGATGGGGATGGGCTTTCATGAACTAGTTTGCATTTAGGCAAATGACCTTTCATCCTAAAAGAACTTTGGACTCCATAATATGAGAAGTTTTCATTTCTCCTTTGGAGGGTCCATATCTCTGCTTGTACATGCCTGACTATGCCTGTGTCAGCGGGTATCTTTGAACTAACAGTTGCCCATGGGATTAATGGGAGGAATAAGGTAACAAATAAATATCCTATATCTTACATTGATGGAGAGACCATGATGAAGACAGACTTGGAGTATAAAAGCCCATCACAGACTGTCTTATAGTGTGGCTTGTTAAAGTTATTTTAAAGTAATATAAATCCCAGGCAAGACTAGTAATAAAGGGATAATTGAAATAGTGTGTTTCTATTATAATATTTAGAATCTTTTCAACTTTGGGAAACATATATTTATTTTAGGAAAATTACAAAAAAGAAATTTAAAAAAATGCTGGGAATATAAATTTTCATCCTTTCATTAATAAAAGAAAAATCACTAATGAAATCCACTAAAGCGCATTAAACTGATTTTTCTTTTTACCTTCCTTTGTCTCTCACTATCACATCCCCTCACATTGTCATTTGTTATGGAGGCCTTGCCCTTCCTCAAAGTAACATACATCACGAATGCATATAACCTTACTCCAAATAAGTAAGACATTAGTCAGAAAACATTCTGAGGAACATACGAGGGCTACTTTATTTTTAAAAGACATAACTTATTATTCCAAATTAATTTTCCAAATAATAAACATCATTCACTATGGAAAAGTAATGGATAAATTTCAAGCATTACAGAGAGAATAAAGAAATATTTTAGGAAGAATGGTGGTAGGCATGGGGGAGCATTTCCTGACTTTAACACGTAAATACATGTTTATTATTGATACTTGTGTGATAATAGGTTAGTGGCTGGGCTTACCCTTCTGATCTATGCCATGTTACACTTTCTCCCATAGTTAGCCTAATGGAGAAAAGTGCAAAAAACCTAAATTAATACTAAAATCGTATACTTATAAGTATACTTATATGTATATAAGTGTACTGCAGGAAATCTTTCCCATGTCTATACAAATCTTACATGCATAAAGTACTATTTGTGTTAGAGAATGATCACTTATCAGCAAAACGATATTCTTTTTAAAAGAAGAAAAATAACCAACAATCTAAAATCACTGCTTAAACAAGAATCCCCTGCTAATCAGAGATATCACAATTTTTTTTTCAAGATTTATGAAAAATTGGATTTCTTACCTAGCTTAAGAAAAATCTTAAGATTTAGGAATAATACACATAATTATTTACAAAATATTTAAATGTAATTTTATAGACATGTTTATTTTTATTCTAATAGCATATGTAAACTATATCAAAATCTCACTTGGCAAAATATGAATCAGCAATTATCGAAATATCTGTCTAAAATATTTCTTTAAAAAGTAAGACGTGATTATTTTCAGTTTTTAAAATAAATTAATAAATCTTATCCTAATGTTTCTTTTCAACAGTTAATTTTTTCATAATTTATAAATATTGTTTTTAGTTTTACATATTCATGAAATATGAATCTTTTGTAGTCATAAATGCTAAGAATTATCCATGTTTCAACAGAGATAAATAAGTTACTTAACAGACATCAAAATAAAAACAAATTGTTACTGTATTTCTTAAAGAAATGACCATTTGGGTGTTAATTATGAATTATAAATAAAATGCTTTGAATATAAGATGTTTGGCATGAAAAAGTTATTTTAGTGTTACTGAAACATTAAAATTTACATATCATAAAATAAAAAATTACTTATAAACATTGGAAACAAAGCTTTTTATCTCAATGAAAATTATAAAATGAGAAATAATATATAATTTAAAACTATAAATGTTAGAATGGTTTATGGTTGATTATATATACATATACATACATATATACATACATATATATGTACTAATGTATACTTAATAACTAAAAATGATCAAAATACAAGTAGGTCTCATTTTACCTACCTTAAGAACATCTCCTTGTGCTAAATGAAATGTTCTGGCTGAAATATTGATTCCCTTTCCTGCTTGAACCTGAATACTATAAATGCATTCATGGTTGTTTTCATAGTTGAGTGGATAATTTGGAGAGAGCAAAATTCCTTCATTATTTGTTGCAGATGCACCACATTCAGCTGCAGGTAAAACAGAATATCGAAGTACAGTTTAATAGAAAGCATTATCATTTTCAAGTAATATAATGTATGAAAGTGTAAATGGATTTTATTTTAACTAGAGCCTAACAGGAAAGTAATGCACAGAATGGCTGTGTGTGGCAGATGATTCATTCCCTCTCAAATGGGAAGTACTACTGACTGTGGACATGACCCTTGTACATAAATGGAAATATATGAAGTTTCAGTATCCCCCTGATGAAAAGAAAGCATGGAAAAAAATGAGAGCAGATGATTTTCAAGATATAGTTTGTTTCTAGATTTCTGATAATTTATTACTTTTAAATTTCTAATTTAATTATCTAAAGTATAAAAAAGTCGAAATTAATTTTGTTTTATAATGATTCATATTGGATTTTTTTATTTTTACCTTTTTTTGTATTTGACCCTTTTTCTATCAATAGGCAGCATTCCCCTGATCCAAGAATTTCAGTAACAAAAGAGGAAATAAATACATTATCTTTGAAAACTGATATAACAAGTAAAACTCACTAACCAATAATCATAATAAATTGGACATCTTTGGAAATTGTATCATTTTCCTCAGTTTAAAAGACATAATAGATTAAGGCATTCTCATAATCAGTATATGGTAATGCTGACTCTCTAGGACTAATCCTGCCACATTTGTCAAAGTGTCTAACCACTTAGAGAGAAGTATAAATTCCTTAATTTTTTTCAAATTTAATTTCAGTTTATTACTTAAATGTTGCAATATCAAATAAGTCTTTATAATCTCCAAACATGTTCTTTAGGTCTCAGAAAGTCAATGAACTCAGTTTTCAATCTTATCTAATAAGTTGCTTCATATTACCATATCATAGTTCAGGGAGAGTTATATTTTAAATAACTCAAGTCACTATTCTACAGAAATAAGATTTTTAAAATAAGGATTCATGGGAACAGTCATAGGAAGTATATAACAAAGTGAAGGATAATGAATTGCTTTACCTTTTAAATGATTAAGCATTAACAAAAATAAGGCAAAAGAAAAGCCTAATGAGGAACTGAAAATGATAAAGATAGAGTAGTCGGTGTAATATCAATATAGTGTACAATAATAATAACAACTAATGATGTAATGCTAATAATCAACCAGTCACTTGAGGAAGTGTCATCCAATAGTTTTCCTCAAAGTCCATTTAAAGTAAAAGAAACAAAACAAAAAAACTTACAGACTCCCAATATCGATTTAAATTATTTTAATGTTATTTAAATATGTTGAAACATAAAAACAGATGTCCTTATGCTTTTGGCAGTATACAATTATAATACAAAAAAAGTTTTACACATACAGGAAGAATAAAACCCTCAAAACAATAAAATTAAAAATAGCAACATGTATCTAATGTGGCATAAGATTTTGTTTCCCTGGAATTAAATTGCCCTTGGCAATGTGGATAAAGAGCCATCAGGCTGTTGGAGTTTGCTATGCCTTTAATTACACTATGCTGTTTAATGATTCAATTCACCCTCATCTTACTCCTCTCAGAACTGCTGAGAAACTTTCATCTGTATAATATAACATGACACCATGTGTCCTTCACTGAGTAGGAAAGAATCATTTATATTTTAAATCTGTTTAATTTCCTTCTCATTAGCTTAGTAGAATCTAGGTATGTTTTGGAGGGCATAAAGACAAATGTATTTGATTATATAGATGACCCAGAATGCAAATACATTTTTATTAGTTCAATTATTTATTAGAGAAAGCAAAGTTTTAAATTATATTACAGAAGCATGGAGTTATGATACTATGCTTTGTATGCCAGCTTGCAAAACACTGATATATTGATTAAGGGCTCAGACTTTAAAATTCAGAGATTTAGTTTTCAAAATTAAGCTCTATCTTCTATCTAAATAGCTTTGGCAAGTGTTTCATTTTCTCTCTTAAGCCTCAATATTGTTATTATTACAATGGAAATAATAATGCCCTACTCAGAGGGATGTGTGTGTGTGAGTTGAAAATATATATATAGATAATACACGTAGAGCATTAGCAAAGTGCTGACATACAACAACAGCTTAATAAATTAAAGGTATCATTATGAATATTTTAAGTATAAATACTAATGAAGGCATCATGTTATATACATAGAAAAAGAATTTAGAGTATTTATTTTGTCCCCAGTGTGACAATCAAGGTGTAGAAAGACGATTATCTGTGAAAAGCCAGAAGATTCTTCCTAATTTTGGAGAATCACTTATGATATTAAAATTATTTTAACAACGTGTTAAACTGAGCTTTTGGTCAATAAAAAGTTACTTCAACTACCCTTTAAAATATACTAATAATTTATTGTTAAATGCTCAACATTTGAGTAAGTAGTAAGTACCTTCTGTCATAAACATTACTGGGTTTATACTGTATAATTTAAAGATTTGCTTTTCTACGAAAAATAATTTGTTTTTGTTATATTTTAATATTTTAGTTAGTTCAAAATTTATATAAATAATTTCATACCAGGTGAAGTAAAATCAGGACTTAAATCAGAATGGAAGAATAATGGGAAAAACTGGATTAAATAAGTACCTTTCTCATTTAATCAGGGCTAACTATAAATTGTGAGACCAGTGCAAAAATAAAAATGTACTGTCCCTTGTTGAAAATATATTAAGAATTTCAAGAGATCAATAAAGCATTAAACCAAGCATGGGCCCCTGCTTAGCATGGAACCCTGTGAAACTACTGAGTTTCACACTCATGAAGCCAACTGTCCATTTATTAGTCACAACAACTTTGCAAGGTAAACCTGCTTTCCTCTAGTTCTATATAGATGAAGATATCAAAGTGAGCTTTCTTGCTAAAAATCAAAAGTGCGTATCAGAGCTGAGAGTTATACTGGAATTTAAATGTCATTGCCTACGGTGTTAAAAGGGTAAATACTTTTTTTTGTTGTTGTTCAGATAAAAATACTTTTTTTTAGTGTGACAGGAGGCACTATTAGTAATCATCCCATACAACAGGTTCAGACTGAGACTACCCCAGATAAACTGGTATGCAAAGTCACTCTTTTCTTTATACCTTAATTGCTACACACACTATCTAAAAACATTCTATTAAAAATTAAGAGGATTAGTTTATGTGGGCTGGGGTATGTCTTGGAGGTCAGAACACATTCACTCCTAATATAATTTATAAATCTGTATTCTATTATACATAATTAATGTTCAGAATGATTACATCATTTGAAAGGAACATCTTGAAACATGAAAAACTGAAAATCTGTTTAGAATGTTCTACTTATATATACAGGAAAATAAACATTTATTCTTTCAATAAGAGTTTTAACAAAGTAAAATTTTCTATTAATGGTAAGTTAAGAAGAAACTTATTTAACCACAAAATCAAACTTCAGGAACTAGGTGATTAATAAGTTATTTATTTTTACATGAAATTTCACCTTTGATTTTATCTTCAAATTTAAAATCTACCAAACACTGGCTTCCCCAGTACCTAATGTAGCACTAACATCTGCCTTGTACAAGGTCTCTTTCTGCATTTTGGCTACAGCAGTCTTGCTTGCCAACTGGAATTGAAGATATAATGTTGAAATTAACAACAGACTATGCACAGTTTGACCATATGCCCAAGTCTAGCAATGAACATGCTTGTATCTCCTGTCATGATATTTTCCAGATGAAAATCTGCTCTTGAACTTTCTGCCTAAAATATACTAATCATAAGCAAGTCAAAGCCCACAAATGTCATGTGAGGCCATTTATAATCGTTTATAATGTGAACCCAATCTAGCTTTCTAATTATTACCCACCATCCTCTCCCACGGACCTTGCAATTCAGCTACTCTGAACCATGTGCCCTTTACTTTGCCACAGCCTCACACACTGGGCCTTTGTACACGGTGTTTTCTCTGCTTGTAAACACTATTTCTAGTCCCAAGGGATGTGATTTCAGGGCCCAAACAAAGAAAATTATTTGATATGGAATTATATTGTTATGGTTCTTTCCAGCATCAGGTAGCTATGATGGTGTGTGAAAGAAATGAAATAATGTCACCTTGAAGTATCAGGATAATTCTCACAAATAAAATTATGGTGCAGTGTTCGTAAGCGTCCTGAAAAAATACCATAACTACAAATTTTCACTGTTTATGACATGAATACGACAGCAATTTCTCACAAAGAATACTTAAAAATAAGAAGATATGAGTATCAGTAAATTGTGATTGAATATTTTTAAGATACATTAAAATTAACTGAAAAAAATAACTAGCAGCAGATCAGCTAGCCCAAGAGAGAAGGATGGTTAGTTGATCTTAGGAAGATACGATTATATAAAGAACATCAACTATCTGGGAAAGAGGAGTTTGAGTAAAGGAAGTCCTAGAAATTCAAGTAGCAAAGGTGAATTGAAAAACAGTCATCATTTTCCAGCCATAGTGACATTTATGTACCGCATACATCTGTCACTGAATAAACATAATCTGTAACTCACAACATCTGGGCAATACCAGGGTTTTCAGGCAGGTGCTGTAACAAACTGCATATATGACGTAACATATGTATGGGAAACATTTCTCATAATAAAAATAAAGTCATAAGGTCATTCTTATATAAACTATTAATACATTTGCTTAACAGTGTACCTTGGTAAAGATGTATATTAACATATTTAAAATGGCTAGGAGATTATGGTATGCTCTGAATTGGAAAAAATAAATTGATTTATTTAATAAATACTGGGCATAGGAGACACAGTGTTGAAACCCCATGGAACTTTTTCCAGTAGCAACAACATGTTTATAATATGACCACTAAAATAAGTACATACAGTTGGCCCTCTCTAATCCACGGGTTTCCCATGCACAGATTCAACCAACCTTCAATTGAAAACAATGGAAAATTTACATTGTTCCTGATATGTGCTATGTAGTTAGGTCTATGATAATTGAATCTGTACTGAACATATTCAGGCCTTTCTTTGTCATTATTCCCTAAAC